CTCCGCGGAGCGAGGCCCGCTGTGCCGGGACCCGGCCGCGCTCGCGGGGTTCGGCGCCCTGCGGGAGTCAGCGGCCTTCGGAGCGGCCCGGCCCGCGCTGCAGGAGGCGCTTCTCCCCGCTGAGCGGCCCGCAGCCCGAGCGCCGCGGGAGGAACCCGCTTCCCCCGGGTTCGGTTCCGAGCAGAAGTTGTGCGAGCCCTGCGAAAGCCGCGCTTTGCCGTTGAGCCGCGCGTTGTACGCGAAGGGGGGAAATCGGAGCTGGAGACCGCTTGTAAATGGAAGCAGATCCGTCTGTAACGAAACTGCGGGCCGGGCGCTCAGCGCTCCGTCCTGGCGGAGATGGCAGCCGTTTGCTCGGCACACGGACGCAGTCCTTGCCCGCCAGAGGCTGACGCGGGTTCTGGCCGCGCCGTTGTTGTGCTGCTCCAGATCCACTTTATCTGCTCTGTAGCTCGGGCTCTCAGCTCAGATATGCGGTGGTTCATTGCTGTGCAGGTGGCTGGGAAACCGGCACCGCTTGTTGTGAAACGTCAGAGAAACCGTGACAGAAATGCCCCGTGTTCTGCATGCAGAGCTGCTTTCTAGGCTTTCTGCTAAGGTTAAAAAGCAAAAGTTGCCTCCTGTTTCTTGCTTTCTGTCTGCCGACTTGAATTCCTCCGTTTATTCTTCGACTTGAATAACCTATCTGCTGTCAGCTCTCTCCTCTCTCTTTCCTTGTTCTTATCTTTCAGCTCTGGCTGTACTAACAGCACTGCTGACCTGCTGCTCTGGTGTCCCCTTCTCCTAGTATCTGTGCTTGCCCACCAGACACTATGAGGAGACTGGCTTTTCGAGGTGCTGGTTGTACTCTGGTAAATCTGGTAAATTATTGATTATATGTACACCGTGCTCTCCGTTCTTCTGCATTAAGGCTTTCCCCGACTGTTAATTATTCCTACCCATTCTTATTCATCTAATTTGCACACTCAACATTCTGTTGCTAACATAAATGCTCTTGTGCAGTTATGTTGGTTATGTTGTACTGCCATACCTTGTAACTTCCTGGGAGATCCCTTGATTTAGTATGGGCTGGGACAGACAAATCTGTTCTGTCCTTTGAGTTAGCTACAAATGGAGATGTTGTTACGATGCTGTCACTAGAAACTGGGGAAGAACCAGCAACTTGGTCCATAAATCCCCATAGTCATTGGACAGTCGTTATTCATTTGTCACTGTTAAGTTGATAAATCAGAAACTGTGACTGAAACAAGAGGTGGATTTTTCTGCTTCTTGATGATTGTGCCATTTGTCTTGAACACACATTGGGAATTGTGGTCACACGACGACCCAGCTCTTTTCTGGCTTGAATCTCACACAAGGTATCCAGTAGCAGTTCATGTTTTAGTTGGTCATTTGTCTTCTTTGTGGCGTCCTTTTTATTTTGTGTTGGTTTTATAATTCGAGAGAGAATGAAGTGCTTTTCTCCATACAGCTCTATAAATACAGTCCTATAAAACAGCAGTTCTCACACTGTAATCATTCATAGCTTGAGGAACCAAAATGTAAATGGTTTCAGAATGTGTCCTGGTAAAAGTTGCTAAATACATCTTTGTGCCTGTAAGCCCTTTGTTTCTGACATTGCTGTTGGTAGTGGCAGTGTTAACCTGCAGGGCCGTTTTGCCTTCCCTTTACTCCCAGCTCATGTGTCTGTGGATATAAGAAACATGTGTGACCCGTTGCAAAACATAGCTCCCTTAATAGCTCTCTCTCATCAGAGGATTTGGTAGCAATGCCAAGAGTTTAAGAACATTTCTCTTCATTATAGAAGAAGTTGGATTCCATGGGTTCCAAGAGGCGAAGAGCAACCTCGCCGTCCAGCAGTGTCAGCGGAGGGGACTTTGATGATGGCCACCACTCCACGAATATCCCAGGCCCCAGCAGGAAGAGAAGGAGGCTTTCCAATCTCCCAACTGTGGATCCTGTTAGTACCTTCTTGTTATGCACACCTTTTTTTCTCATAGGTTTACTGTACTGTCTAAGAAATGCTAGATT